GACTGGTTTTCGGACCCCCCAGACCCCCCCAATAAAGCAAAACTGCACGTTTCAGAGTGGCCTTTTATTGTGGCCAGCCTAAGGCACAATAATCATGCTGTCTAATCAGCATCTTGATATGCCACACCTGTGAGATGGGATGGATTATCTCGACAGAGGAGAAGTGCTCACTATCACCNTAACCATTTCTCTCAAATATTGTTCACAAATCTGAAAAAATCTGTGATAGTGAGCACTTCTCCTTTGCCGAGATAATCCATCCCACCTCACAGGTGTGGGCCACACCTGTGAGGTGGGATGGATTATCTCGGCAAAGGAGAAGTGCTCACTATCACAGATTTTTTCAGATTTGTGAACAATATTTGAGAGAAATGGTTATTTTGTGTATATAGAAAATGTTTTAGATCTTTGAGTTCATCTCATGAAAAATGGGAGCAAAAACAAAAGTGTTGCATTTATATTTTTGTTCAGTGTAGATAGCAATATTTAAGTGTTATTATTATATTGTTTCTGTATTTCCTGTCACCGTTAAAGCCCTGCTCTGCGGGGGGTTGGACATGCAGGACTGTGAAAGACAACTTGTGGACGTTCTGGGGGGAAATAAATAAACACAATATGATGTTGCACCAAACTATCTGCTTGTTTTGTTTTTGTTTAATGACTACAAACTAATGGAAATCTTTTATGATATGTATGAGCCTTTAAGTAACTGGAGAAGTCATGAGAATATGGTAATGTGCTAGTTATCAGTGCGGAAATGAGTCTAGAGAAACTTAGACATGTCGTTTTGAGTTGCTTAAGGTTGCCTTTCAACACAGTTAATGTCAAATGATAATTGCATTATGTTGAGGAACAATATCATTTCATTATTATATGTTTAAACAAGATATACATGTATTCCTGTTTGTTTACAACTGACACAGGCCTGGTAAAAAAAAGGGTAACCAAACAATGTTTGTATAATCAAAGGCATAACATCGTCAAATATCCAAAGGTAAATGTGGATAGATTAACCCAAAATCTTTCAAATGAAGAGAGTGTACAAAATATGTATACTTGAAAACAGCTGAAAAAGAAACTCTTCTAAAACGTATCACATCCCAAAGGAAAATATAGTAAGTTGTTCTAAAATCTTTGATTTCTTTATGCACACGAAATTTTATTTTAAATCTTTGACATATTGTTCATTATAGATGTTTGAATGTCTGCTTTAGGTGTTGAATGCCAGTTAAATGTGAATGGTGTATTTAAACCAAGCAGCAGTCCCACAAAGTATTGCCTTGGTTAAGATTTGCATGCAGTCGATATATTATGATTATGTTATACAAAATACCTATTTGTGTTATTATTATATATTATTATATATTTTATTTTAATATATTATTTTATTTTATATTTTAAGACAATATGTAACTACATCACACTAAGGGATTTTAGTTTGAATTTACCTACATGTGCAATTTTAGAATACATAGCCTATCCTTAAAGACCTTTTTTTGTGTTATTTACAAAATATTGAAAGAAAAAACTTTAAATCAAGCGAGATAGTTGATATCTACAGTAGTTTCCCTTTTCATGCCACTGGCTCTCCTCTCCTCCTCTCCTCCTTTCCTTTCCGGTAAGCGACTGAGGTGAAAGAGCGTCTCTTCAAGTCACTACCTCTCATTTTACGGCCGTGTTTTGGTCTGCCGTAAAGCGAAACGCGTGGACTCGGCGGAAGGTTAAAGCGAAACTCTCTGGTTGAAGTGATTCCTATCAAACACGGTAAATACAGATACATTGTTATTTAATGTAGGTTTCATATCAGCGCCTTACTTGTATAGACACGATGTCATGTGCATTTGTATTTAAAAAACATCAGTGTTAAGATAGAGCGGCCTGTTGACATGAACGAGCAGTCGTTGAAGGAGACTGGTTAGCATAACATGCTAACACCTGACAGCTTTAGAGTTTCAATGATTGTGTCATGACTCCATTTCAATATATAATAAGCTTAGGGTGTTTTTTTCAGCAGAGGGTAAGCCAGCTAGCTATTCGAACATGAGTTAGCTAGGTGCTAGCTATATAACGTTAATCGACAGGTTAGCCATTATTTAAAGGATAAAATAGTTTATTGTTGAGTTTGATTGTTCCAAGGTAATTTCACAGTTTGGACAAGGAAAACAGAAATGGGAGTTGAATGTTAAAAGCAATAGTAATTTAGCACATTTACTCCTTGAATGTGTATGTCACTTCCATGAAAGTCTGTAAAGCAGTGATATGACAGTAAGACAGCAATGTTATCATATTGGTGGCACAGCTGCTCAACTATGAGGTTATCAAGTTAGGTTTTGCTCTTTTTGTATTAATCATACTGCACTGTTGCATGCACAACTTCTTGTTTGTGTATTTATCATTGAAATGACACCATCAAGTCTACAGAGAGGTGCTGCAGTGTTTTCCTACTAAAAGCTTGAACTAGTATATACTACATAACCCTATAACTCTTATTATATAACCCTTTTACTTACAAGAAAGCAGACGTTATGAAAAGGAACCTTTTTAGGCACGTTTTATTTTGAGCAGAAACTCTTGACGTTACTTACTATTTGTAATGTCACTTATTAGATGCTTTTACCCAAAGAGACTCCATACAATCAGTTGTCAAATAGCCTTTGGTTTTGAAACCAAGCAAAACATTTAAAAATGTACAAAGATTGTATTTATGCTGTAACTTTTCTTTAAACTTCGTTATAATATAATCACTACTACTGTAAGGTGCTCACTTTTCATGTGCAATATGTTTGCTGTCAACTTTTTTTTGTTATAACGACACGTATACAGCTTTCGTGGCAGTTTTTCAAGGCTGATGTTTTTATTCTGCCTTCTTCTTGTCTTTGTGATTTCTCCGTCTTCTTCCTGCTACTTCCTGTTTGTTGCTCATTATTCTCTCCTCTCCGTCTTCTCCCTCATTAGCATCATGCCGTTTGTGGACCTGCAGACTCGGCTCGGCATCGACGCTGATAAATGGCTGCTGAATCAGAGCAGCCTTCAGCCCAAGCAGAAGGCGGCGCGCTGCCACACTTTTGAGAAGGATTGGATCGAGTGCTCCCACAACATTGGGCAGACCCGCTCCAAGAAGGAGTGCCAGCTGGAGTTAGAGGATTTCAACGAGTGCTTGCACAAGAAGAAGACAGTAAGTGTCTCAATGCTCTCTGTCTCCTGTGTGAGTTATTTTAGTATCATTTCAGAGCGGTGACTGCTGGAAAAGGGATGCACTGTATGGTATTTTTTAACCAATACCTTTTATTGGTCTACCTCTTATAGCCAATGAGACAACCAATCGTTTCCCATTTTTATATTTTAAAAAGTAGTCCATAACCTGTAGTTTATGCACACAAGACGGTATGAAAGTCAAAGATGTTTGGAGAAAGATGGAGGATTTTATATTCTATACCTCTGACCTATTTCAATCTGACTCACGTCCCTTATGTAAAGACAAAAAAACTATTCTCAAATTTTCTTACATTTATTCGTGTGTGTCATTCTCTGAGAGTGTGAAAAAGTTCAGAACCGGACACATGTTTTGTGTTTTTCATTATGTTATTGTGTCCTTTTTCACATCAGAAGTGTAAAAAGTGCAAACAGTGTGGCTCTAGAGGTGATCAGTCAGAAATCATCCTAATTCCATCCTCTTTGGAATAGGTTATGCACATCACCTTTTTAGTGAGTTACTCAGATGAGTTTGGTACTCACCCCACACAAAGCGATTGTACGAGAATCCCCTCACCCCACTCCTCCTCAGTGTCTCATTCACTGTCCTCTATTTACACTTCTTGCATGCTAGATGATGAAGATGATTACCATTAACATTAAAACATGATAAATCCCCTGTATCATAACTTGTAGTGCATCACTTAAGACTTTGTCTGTATCATTTAGGTCTGCAAACACAACTCCTTCAACACCCAAGCCTATTTGCTAAATATTATTCCTTTCTCTTTACCCAATGAACCTTCGACACATCCAAATCATTTGTTTGCCGGTTTCTAATGAACTCATATAAGTTAATTGAGCCGCTATACGGCATAATTATCCCACATTTCTGCAACATCAAGCTGTCTGAATCTTAAAGGTTCCATGTCATGCTAGTGGAGCCTCGCAGATGGGGGTGTTGCAGCCCCCTCAGCATCCCCCCCTTCGATGTCTCACTGTCTCGCAGACCCCCCATCTGCGAGAAATGAACCCAGCTCACACTGTCCGCTCCTCGCAGCACTCAGAGTTCCCGCCAACACGGCACCCAGACCCCACGCAGCATTCTCATCTGTTCGTCATTACTGGTGTCATTTTCTGGTTGCTAACAAACGCCATTGTAACACATAATCACTGATGTTCCGCTGTAAAGGTGGTGGACTCATCAGAACAGACTGGGCGAGCTGACCAATCAGAGCACAGTGGGCTCATAGGGGGGGGGGCAGGAGCTCCAACAAGGCGTGTAGGATAGAGAGTGAATACACATACTATACAGAGATGCTGTATGAGAAACCAATGTGATTCGGGAACATTGAACAATGTAAATCTATTTTAGTATACCTCAACAATGGAATCATGATCAGTGGAAATGGCCATGACATGGGATCTTTAAAGCTTGTTGTGAGTATGTTAGTAAAACATTATTTTCTAGCTATCGTTAGCTGGCTAGAATTCAACAATAACAATCATATGATTGAATACATGCCATTGAACCTGCGTGTAAAGGCACGCAGTACCTGAAACTGGCCTGACGGGTTTAACACTGCCATGCATACATTTTAACGCTTGTTTGCCTTTAGATTGAAATATAAGATAGTAACCTGAGAAGTCACGCATGAACTTGAGCATCCACAATCAGACACTTCACTTTAGCCCTTTAACTTCAATAAAGATAATGAAAACACTAAAATACCATTCGACCCAGGTGAAGGAAGTAACCGAGGTGCTTTCGGCCATGTAATGTGAACTACAAGGCTCCTTTTCCTTTTTTACATTTGGTTGGCTTTATGTTAACTCCACCCAGCTGCGGGTGTTTCCCCAGAAAATTATTTGGTGGACAAATGCAACGTAACCCGCGGCAGCCGTCCTGTCTACTCTGTTGAAACGCCGTGGGACTTGATGGCTTGGAATTGAGCATAAAAACAACAAATAAAGCTTACATAGACATTCAAAGTGGAACGTACCTAGAAACCTCCCATTGAGCAAACGAGTCAAACAAAAGCTCTCGTTATGTAACTGGCTCAGAAATGACACAGAGTACATTTCTGCTCTTGTTTGATTGATGGTCGAGAGGACTTTCATTTTCATAGAGAATTGAACCTCTCAGCCATGCTCATGGTCAGAGAGATATAGTGCGACCACCCGCTGATTCCTGCATTGTAACCACATCTGTGTTTTGCTGTGGTTGAAAGTCTACTGGACAAACAGCAACAGGAGGGTGAATGCTCAGTGTGTGTTTTCGTTAAATTCAACATCTGTCTGCAGAATACAAAGTAACTTTCAACTGTTGGCGGGAGAGAGAACAGACCCTGACAAAGAGCGTTCACCTTTCACAAGTGGATGTTTATCCAGATGGGTTATTTTGACCATGAGGGCAAAGACAGTCTAAGAATAGCTGAATAAACACTAAAAACGGAACCACAAAGGTTGAAGTTTTCTTTAAGAACAACAAAAAAGTGAGTTTATGAGTGGACAGAGTCAGAGGCCTACATGAAAGCATTTCTGAACAAATGTGAATGGACAAAACACATCTCCATCCATCCATCTTCTCCCGCTAATCCGTGGAGGTTAGCAGTTCCAGCAGAGAGCCCCAAACGTTCTTTTCCCTGGCCACATCAACCAGCTCTGACTGGGGGATCACAAGCGCTCCCAGCCAGCGCGAAGAGATATAATCCCTCCACCTGGTTCATAGGTCCTACCCTTGGTCTCTTCCCAGCTGGACGTGCCTGGAACACCTCCTAGGGAGGCCGCCCAGGTGGCCATCCTAACTAAGGTGCCCAACACCTCTACTGGCCTCCTTTCGACGCAGGAGGAGCGGTTTCAACTCGAGTCGCGTCCGGGATGACCGAACTTCACTTCACCTTATCCTTAAGGAGACACCAGCCACCCTGCGGAAGAAAAACCCATCTTCGCCCGCTTGTATCCGCGATCTCGTTCTTTTCAGTCATGACCCTCCTTCGATGACCATAGGTGAGGGTAGGAATGAAAATGCCTGGTAGACAGAGAGCTTGTTGCTTCTGGCTCAGCCTCCTTTTCCGTCACAGAACGGTGAGGGTACAGCGACTGCAGTGCCGCTCCCGCTGCTCAATTCTCCGGCCCATCTCACGTCCGATTGTTCCGCGGGGGCGGAGCGGCGGGGGGAGACAAGACCCCGAGATACCTGGAACTTCTTCACTTGGGGTAAGAACTCATTCCGCTACTTGCGAGTGGACAGTGTCCATCGGATGTTCCTGCGAGGAACATGCCTCAGATTTGGAGGTACGATTCTGGATCCAGGGGGGGCCGGCTCACACTCGGTTGCGAACCGATCCAGTGAGTGCTGAAGGTCGCAGACCAATGAAGCCATCAGAACCACATCATCTGCAAAAAGCACAAAAAAAACACATCTTAAATTCAATATTTATATTTTTGATATATATATATTGGACAGCCGCAACATTGCATTTGTTTAGTGTGATTGGGAAGCTCATTTTTATTTATTTTTTAACATTTATATTTTACTAGACATTTTCAAAGGCAAAAACACAAGGACATGGCTCACACACATCACAAACAGAACAGGAGCGCCGACTAGTGGTAAAGGTAGTCGACTAGTCGACTAGTCGATTAGTTGGTGAAACCCCTAATGCACATGGCGTTGTATTTATACATGATTTGCTTCATAATATAGATATACTTAATTATTTCCTCATTATTATTATTATAAAACAAAAAATGTATAATTGATAAATAAATAAATAAATGTATAAATAGATAAATAGTCAAATACATATATACACATCTATATACACACACATACACATCTCTTCCTTTTCTGATTAATTCACCTATTCATCCATTTCCCATTTAATTTAACTTCTGTCATTATTATTACCATTATAAACTCATTTCAATGTTGAATGTCAGACAAAAATAAATAAAAATTAACTGTTGTTGAATCGTAGCAACAACACATCTAAACATTTGGTGATGGGAGTGATAAAAAGCTCATGTTTCTCACAAAAATGGGTATGCCCTGAGTGTTGGATTCTAAACATTTGAGTAAATGTAAGCTATTATGGTGTGCTTGGCTGAAAACAAATTTGAAAGGCAACCATTAATGGCATCGGTTTGAGATGAAATACCTTCATTCCCCATGCCAATCACCTGACTGAAAATTATGAAAACATGCTCTACCACACGTACGTAACTAACACTTAAACAAGTTTGTTTTTTCACTATCAGAACACTGTGTGCTGGCATGTAGTCAATTCATTACAGCAAGTCTGTATCACAATCGAAATACTCTGTTTCTTTTCTCACATCTCTGAGAAGTAATAGGCTTTTTCCATAACTTTGCATGAACATCCTTGTGTTGACATTGATGCTACACTGTTTTTAGTTGCTAAGGCAGCAGCCATACTTTAAAGTGGACCTATCATGCTATATTTGAAACATATATTGTAGGGCCATACCTATACAAAACATGTCTGTGAAGTTTTTTTTCATAATACCAAACAGATCACCCATTGTAGCCATGCCTCATACTGCTCAAACTCCTCTTTTGAAGCCCTGTTAGAAAAACGCGGATCTTGGGTCCTTAGCTTGAAAAAAAGAAGAAGAGGAGGTGGAGCTAATGCCTAATCAGAATTCTACCGGAGATAAAGTTAAATTCGGTTGTAATAAAATGCCATCCTGTTTAAACCACGTCAAGGATTATTTCTGAAATAGTATGGAGCTCAAATGCTTTTTCTCTTGCAGGTTTATCACAAGGTGAGTTCTTTTTTTATTTCCTGCTTTTTAAACACATGTGCTCTACACAGTACAGGTTAGCTCTGAGTGTTAGCGAGGCTTGCTAATGTAAACAAAGACGAGATTAAGTCCAAAACATGTCAGGCATTGTTTCTGATAGCAACTTTCTGTGGGTCCGCCGACGTCACCACAGATGAACACGTCAGTTTGGCAGCAAATCTGTATCCGCTCGTTGTACACCCGTTTTTAAAAGATTTGGGTACGGAGGAAAAGAGACAAAAGAGGGTTTTA